GAAGGAAGGAAGGAAGGAAGGAAGGAAGGAAGGAAGGAAGGAAGGAAGGAAGGAAGGAAGGAAGGAAGGAAGGAAAAACATGCTTCTTCTTCTCTTCCCCAGCCGCTCTGCCCGGGAGCCACACACTATGTGCGAAAGAGCCGCATGTGGCTCCTGAGCCACACTTTGGCCACCCCTGCCCTAGACCTCGTCCTCTACTACAGCTACATAGAATGATCACTTATGGAAGCAGTTTGAAAGAGGAAGAGGAGCTAAACGGGAGTTGGTCCCAGCCAAGCCAAAGGGCACAAGCCCTCACTATCTTACTTCTCCCTGTCTGCAAACTTGACCCACTGAAGCCACACTTCCCATGAGTCTGTGTCGTTATACATCACTCCTGGTTCAACAGTCAAAAGAAAAAAACTGTGAATCTGTATCCATGGCTCCATATGACATTCATCTAAAGCTGACCAAGTTTGGTAGGATCTCAGTGGCCTATCCATCAACAAGAAAGCCCAAGTGAAACATATACGTAAAAGCATACCTGGACGAAAGGCTGACTGCATTTTAAGGAGCGCTTCAGTGCAATCGGACAATAAGTACTTGGCTTTCCTATGATAGATTCGCACCACTCCCAGCAACAGGTGTCCTGAGGTACGCAGGGCAATTTTAAACTTGGGGGGGGGGAAATTGAAACAAATATTGTATTAATGGTGTATTAACATTTATGGAAAGCAACACAACGCTAACAGTAACGGCCTCTGCGGGTCATTTCCAAAACAAAATTGTCTCCTGCACATCCATATTAAATAAATAAACGTTCCATCAATGGCGATAACTGTTGGACCAGGGGATCCCCAACCTTTTTGAGCCTGAGGGCACTTTTGCAATTCTGACACAGTGAGGTGGGCACAACCAGATACAACGGCTGCTGCACTTGACCTTCATTCACACAGTGAAGATCCTTGAGCTGCGCTGGAGCTGGCAGTAAACTTAGATGCTGTGTTAAAAACACCACTACTCTGATCCAATTCAGACCCCCCCCCCAGCCTGATTTAAACTAAAACAAAACAGGAGGGGGGGGAAAGAGGTAAAGGTAAAGGTTTCCCTTGCTCGAAAGCCAGTCGAATCCGACTCTAGGGGGCGGTGCTCATCTCCGTTTCCAAGCCGAAGAGCCAGCGCTGTCCGAAGACGTTTCCGTGGTCATGTGGCCAGCATGACTAAATGTCACGATGCGGGGCTAGGCAGGGGCGAGGCAGTCAGGATACAGTCCAAGATCAAGAGCCAGGTAAGCAAGCTAGCCAGGAAGCCAAGTCCAAGACACTAAGCAAAAGCGGGGTGGTCAAAGTACAGTCCAGAGTCAAGAGCCAGGCAAGCAAACCAACCAGGAAATCAAGTTCAAATCACAAACCGTTAGAGTTGTCAGAGAGCCAGAGTCCAAGAAAGTCAAGAGCCAAGGAGTCAAAGGTTCAAGGTGGAGAGGCCAAGCGTACTGTTCAATCCGAGGTCACAGAGCCGAGGGAATCCAGTCAGGAACAAGGAGTCAGGAACACGAGCAAGGAGGTGCAGAGCTTTCGTCCGAAGAGACTAGTTGCTGGCACGATTTGTCAGCGTGAGGGCGAGAGTTAAATAGCCCATAAACCTGTCAGCAATTAGAGCGCCTCCAGCGAGTCCCAGCTCCTGCTAGTACTCGGGGCTGAGTGAGCATCTGCCACGCATGCGTGCCTCTCGCCGCCTAACTGCCATCTCCCGTCGGCGCCGTTCCCTTAAACGGGATACTGGTGGAGGTGAATCAGGAGGAGAACTGTCCAGGCGTGCTTCTGCCTCAGCTGTAGCTTCTGAAAGCTCAGCCCTGTCAGATGCAGGCGTTACGGGCATCGCAACCTCATCCCCAGCAGCACTTAGATCCTCTGCTGGGGCCGTTTGCTCGGACTCAGCAGGAGCCATGACACTAAACACTGAGGCGCACGGAACGCTGTTACCTTCCCACCAAAGCGGTACCTATTTATCTGCTTGCGGTTTCTTGCTTTCGAACTGCTAGGTTGGCAGAAGCTGGGGGCAGAGACGGGAGCTCACTCCGTCACCTGGCACTAGGGTCTCAAACTGCTGAGCTACCGATCTTCCAGTCCGCAACTCAGCGTCTTAACCTCTGAGCCACCGCGGTACTAATGTAGAATTAACATACCTTTCTTTCCAATAATTCCCCTCGGCTCTTTATACAATCTGCCAGCTGAATGTAACGATTTGTGAAGTGGACAGTGGCTCATGAAAGTGTATGCCAGGATAAATCTCTTCATTCTTAAAATACCACGTTTCTAAGCTCTAGTCAGCCAAGAGTGGTTTGGGACATTCTAAGGAAGCGCCATCATCCACATGAACAGCGTTCCAAAATCACCTGTTTCAATGCATCTGAAGACGTGTGCATGCACACAAAAGCTTATATGCAGAATTAAACATTGTTGGTCTTATAGGTGCCACTGGACTCAAACTTTGTTCTTTTAATCTTCTACTCAGGTCTCCCCAAGAGAAGGATCTTCTCACCCCTTTTAATTGTTCTTGCATATTGTCTATGAACTAGTCCAGGGGTCGCCAACATTTTTGAGCCTGCGGGAACTTTTGGAATTCTGACACAGGATGGTGGGTGCAGCCACAAAATGGCTGCTGCAGGAGGCAGAGCCAATAAAAACATGGCTGCTGCAGGAGGCAGAGCCAGCCACAGAATCTCAAGCAGTGAGATCATGCATAACTCTAACGGTAACTCTTCCACATTTTAGGCAGAAGATAAGAACATAAGAGAAGCCAATGTTGGATCAGGCCAATGGACCATCCAGTCCAACACTCTGTCACACAGTGGCCAAAAACACCAGGGGCCATCAGGAGGTCCACCAGTGGGGCCAGGACACCAGAAGCCCTCCGTTGCCCCCCCCAAGCACCAGGAATACACTGCATCACTTTCCCCAGCCTGATCTGCTTAACAATACGAATACATTATTTAAAATATTTTCTCGCATACACACAGCTTCACTGAATGACTGAAGGTAAGAAGCTGATACCAAAGCAACTCTTTAAAAAAAATCTGCACAGCACATGAGCCCGTTCGCAGGGAGGGCGGGGTATAAATAAAAAAATAAATAAAATAAATAAAAATGACATCTCCAGTGGCCAATCAGAGGCCTGGCTGGGCAAAAGCCCCACCTGGATCCCCCCTTTAAAAAACAAAAACAAAACACATTTGATGGGTGCCAGAAGGGTGATGGCAGACCCCATGATGCCCATGGGCACCATGTTGGGGACCCCTGAGCTAGTCTGTGGACCTTCAGGGGCAGGACAGAAATGCAATGCGATACTCTCATATATAGCCCACCAGGGCTCTTTTTGTAGAAAAAGCCCAGCAGGAACTCATTAGCATAATAGGCCACACCCAACAGCAGAAACTCATTAGCATATCGGGCCACACCCCTGACAGCACAGCTCATTACCAGATTAGGCCACAACCCCATGTTACCATGCTGGGCGTGGCCAACTTGGGAGCCAGTCGGAACTCCGTTCCTGTGCGTTCCTGCCCAAAAATAGCCCTGTAGCCCACCCATCACATGCTAACTTGCATTTGCTAAAAGGAATAATTGGGGGGGAGGGATTAAAGAGTGTGCCAGACTTTGAAAATAAAGCACACCATAGTTTGTCTCATGCCTATCAGCAATTCAAGTCAATGAAAGATACAACCCCAGAGTCCAATGTGATTGACGCCCTGGTAAAGCTTTGAGGAGATTTCTATCACTGCATTTCAAGAGACATTTCTGTTACATTCATACTTTGGGTGAAAGCAACTTTTCCACTGTCATCTCTAAATTGCATTCAAATATATGAGCCTTGGTAACTTTCTTGTCCCAATGAGCAGCCAACCAGATTTTGGACAGAGGCCCACGCTTGTTCATAAGCAGCTGTGCGAAGAACATTTTGCCGGCTTTGTGTTCTTCAATTAGGCAAGCTAGAGTTAAAAAAAAATGAAATCAATACAAAATAAGGCATAATTTCAAACACTGTGTCATTTTTTGCATGATTTTCAAAGTAATGCACTGAAAAATACCAGCCATGATTTGCAATAGGGGATATGTAGGAGCAGTATGAAGCTTTGGTTAGATTTCAAAGCTTTGTATGCTTATAAAGCGGTTAAAACAAATTACATGTATTGTGAACGCACACTATGAAACTTTGCATAAGAATAGGCCCATCTAATTACTTATATACTAAATCTTGAATTACACTAATGCAGTTCCGCAGGGCCTGCAAAGTGGAGCTGTTCCACCAGGCCTATGGTTGAGGCTGCAGTAACCATCTGGACTGGCCTCTCTCCACCGCCCCACCGCTTGCTCTCCTTTCCTTGCCTGCTTGTCCTGCTTCTCTGTTTTATTTTAACATCTATTGTACTACTTAAGAACATAAGAACACAAGAGACGCCAATGTTGGATCAGGCCAGAGGCCCATCCAGTCCAACACTCTGTGTCACACAGTGGCCAGAAATACCAGTGCCATCAAGATGCAAAAACCTCTCTAGGACGCATTAATCCAGGGGTGTCGAACTCATTTGTTATGAGGGCCAGATCTGACATAAATGAGACCTTGTTGGGCTGGGCCACGTGTGTCATAAAATGTAATGCCAGGTAGCAGAGATATAAACTTTATAAAGGACACACACACAAAGGTGTTTTTCTTAAACTTAAAATAAAAACATGCTTAAAACATCAGCACTCTTGAAACATTTTGTTTCTTTAACAGTCTCTGATAACGGACACCTCTTGCTCTGAATTATCACATCAAAATGTCTGTGCTGTTGCAGTCTTGAGTATGCTGTTCAGGTGTGTATCTATGATGACGTAGCAGCAGAAGACAGCCAGTTCTACTGCAGGCCTCATAGAAGCCCTCTGGGGGCCTGATCCGACCCCCGGGCTGCATGTTTGACACCCCTGTATTAAGCTGTTCTAATGTTTCAACTGCCATCTGATATTGATATTAGACACTGTTATTAATGTTGATTTATATTTATTGTTTTAAATGTTTTTATTGTTACTCTTGCTACCCTCCCTGCACCTGCTTGCAGGGGTGAGTGGGCTCAGGGCGGCTTACAAGACGGCAAAATACGCCCATACATAAAAACAGGGTAAAAACGGTAAAAACCAACGAATATTACAAATAAAGTGCTCAAATTTAAACAATATGGTCATTCATTAGAGGTAGGTGGTTTTTCATGAAGGTAGGTAGTGTCCAGATCAAATACATCAAACCAAATATTATGTATACAATAACAAACAAAGCAACTATACCATGGCTAGAAATATATACTGTTAGGGTTGCCAAGTCCTTACCGTCTGTATAGCGGGGGAGTCTAGCGCTGCTCCGGGAGGCCATGTGACGCAACCACGTCGGGCACACCAGGGGCGGGGCCACAATCATCCGAGGGAAAACCATAGAGTTTTCTCTCGGATAACCACGGCCGAGCCCCCAATGTGCCCGAAACGACTGCGTCGCTTCCAGGTGACGTGCTGACGCCGGGCACGTTGCGTGCTTTGGGGGTGGGGTTCCCCCCGGGGCCCAATCTACCGGTGGCGGGTAACAGGCCTCTCGGGCGGGACTTTCCCCGCCCCCCGGGGGGACTTGGCAAGCCTATATACCATAGTGTGAAACAATGACAGTTCATTGTTACCATACTTCTCTTGAGAGAAAGATACAGCCTGCAGAGTGTAAAACTAACTATGCATTAGGGCTGACAGGTCAGCTCTGTGATGGGCTATACCTGGAGATTTTGGGGATGGAGTCTGAGGAGAGCACAGTTTGGGGGCAGGAAGGATATCGGAGGGGTATAATTCCATAGAATCCACTTTCCACAGTGGCCATTTTCTCCAGGTGAATTGATCCCTGTTGCTTGGAGATCAACTGTAATCCCAGGAGATCTCTTGCCACCACCTGGAGGCTGGCAGACTTAATAATCATGCTTACCTGGTTGTAGAGGGGGGACAGATAGAGAGAAAGCCCAAGAAGCAAGCCTTCTCTTAGATGGGAGGGGAACACTTTTTAAACACCTAGGGGCCAGGAAAAATACTTCATGGGAGAGGCAAAAAGAAGTTGATATAATACTCCTCCCCAAGGATCATTTCGTAGAAAATGAGGTGCAGGAGCTCATTAGCATAACTCATTAGCATAACTTAGCATATGCCACACCCCCTGACATCACCAGAAATGTGTCAGATGGCAATACCCACCGCTTAGGCTCCACTGGACTGTTTTGGATTGCTAGCTATTGGGGGGGGGGACGTGCAGATCTGTCCTCGCAGAGGAGCGAGAGCTTGTGCCTGAATAAAACTTGGTCTTAAAGGTGCCACTGGACTGTTTTGGACGGGGGGGCTCTGCAACTGACCTGGCTGCTTCTTGCTCTGCCTGAGGGCTGCTGGGAGCAGGGGGCGGGGTTTGTTGCATGTGCCCGCCCCCTGGGCTCTTTACTGCCGGAGCTCCGCTCCTGTGCGCTCCTGCAGGAAATGACCCCTGCTCCCCCCTCATCAAGGCAATCAGATTACTCAGCACTGCAGAGACTAAAAATATACTGCAGATACTGAAAATATCAACTGCAAACATACAGTTAAGAAGGTAACTCTTTTAAAATGCATGATGAAGTGGTTAAGGTTCCTATGATTTTATGGGCAAAAAAAATTAGGTTATTCTATTGATTTAGACAAATGGTTTAAAGTTTGGAAAACTAACATTTTTTATCATTTAATTTCTAGCCCGCCCTCCCCACAAGCGGGCTTAGGGCGGCTCACAAATAGGGCATATATGCCAATACATAAAAACAAAATTAAAAACAAGATAAAACAATCATTTATGATACTACAAGTGCTCTGGATGTATACTAAAGCAGTACCACTTGAAGAAAAGTTTTATAAGATGTTCTACAGATGGCATTTGACAACCGATAGACTGGCCAAATGCTATCCCAACATGTCCAATATATGTTGGATATGCAAGATAAAAGTTGGTCCTTTTTATCACACTTGGTGGTCTTGTGACAAGAGTAGAAAATTCTGGGTCAATGTGCATGAAATGTTAAAGTAAATATTAGGTATTAATGTCGCTTTTAACCCAGAAATGTTTTTGCTAAATGTAATTCCTGATCAATTTCATAAATTAGATTGTTATATGATCATCCATATTGTAACAGCTGCCAGAATTCTATTTGCTAGTATGTGGGAAAAAGACGATATACCCACAAAAGAGGATATTATCTGTAAACTTATGGATACAGCGGAAATGGACAACTTAACAATACTACTTCAAAGAAGGAGAGACAATGTTTTCAAAGATGTATGGGCAAAATTATATCTCTGGGTAGAGAAACATTTATAATTCTGTGTTTAGTTAATACTAACAAATCTATCGATGATCCATGGGGTCGCAAAGAGTCGGACTCAACTGTGCGACTGAACAACAAAAAATATAGTTAATTAACCAAGTGGGACGGAAACCCATCTATGTTTGTCAGTATTTTGTGTGTGTGTGTTTTTGGTGAAAATTTCAATAAAGAAATATATATATATCTATATAAAGAAAATAACTCTTGAGGATAAACCTAGCAGTGGTTTTTTTGCAAATGAGCCACATTTCGTTATGGAAAAGAATGTGTAGAGGAAAGGACAGTTTTTGCGGACATAGGGTAAGACTGAAGAATAGCATGTGCAGTCTGGAATAGCAAATGATTAAAATACAGTATTTACAGTCTGTATTTGCCTAAGGCTCAGGTTAGGGGTGCCTGCCTCCAAGAGGGAGTTGGGGGCAGTGTGCCCTCTAAGCTGAGTTAGTATGAGCCAGCTTACAGTTTTTTAGCCTCTGGCGCACACATTTTTGTCTCAGCTCAGGAAGGAGGGCTCCAGAGCAAACTAACTGATGCAGCAGCCGAATAGCTGGACTATAAGGAAGGCCGAGCGCCGAAGAATAGATTCTTTTGAACTATGGTGCTGGAGGAGACTCTTGAGAGTCCCTTGGACTGCAAGAAGAACAAATCAGTCAATCCTCAAAGAAATCAACCCTGACTGTTCCCTGGAAGGCCAGATAATGAAACTGAAGCTCAAATACTTTGGCCACCAAATGAGAAGGGAGCACTCACTGGAGAAGACCCTGATGCTTGGAAAGATTGAAGGTCAAAGAAGACGGGGACGGCAAAGGATGAGATGGTTAGACAGTGTCATCGATGCAACGAACATGAAGTTGAGCCAACTTCAGAGGACGGCAGAAGACCGGAAGGCCTGGAGAGAGCTCGTCCATGGGGTCGCGAAGAGTCGGACTCGACTGTGCGACTGAACAACAACAACCCCACTGAGGTCTCTGTCCTCCCCAGGCTCCATCCCCAAATCTCCAGGAGTTCCCCAAACTGGATCTGGCAATACTAATTCTACCCCATTGAGGTCCCTGTAACCCTCCATCTGAAGCTAGCAACCCCAAAGCCCTTGCCCGCCGCCAGTGGCCAGGGTTGGACCCTAACAGGATGATAGTTAAACTCCAAATCATAAACCAAAAAAGGAATGTTAGGATTACCTGTAAAGGTTCTTTTTAGTCTGGTGAAGATCCTGGAATAGACAGTTCCTCCTATACACCTTTAAGGTGGCTTTGTCCAGGAAGAATAACCCCTCCACTCCAAGCTGCACTAGACTGGGGGAAGGGGACACAAAACCGTATAAAAATCTTAGCACTCAATTTTTTAAAATGATAGTGTAAATGCTGTATGTATAATCATGATTTCAAATTGCCTTCAACTTTCTGGTACAAAAGCCCTATCTTCTGCCACCAGCTAAGGGCTATGATTCTCTGTATGTTTACTCAGAAGCAAGTCACCAATGGGATTTACGGAAGAGTCCTAATGAGAGTAAGAGGGTTACACCCTTCTCTAAATATGCATGGGGTGGAGAGAGCT